ACATTGAATCTGTTTGCACACGCCTTGAGGCTGCTGGATTGAAGCTAGGACCAAATAAGTGTTACGTTACCCAGAGTTCATGTATTTTCGTTGGTCATCACATCTCGAAAGATGGAATTTCACCCCCTCCGGATAGCCATGCAGCATTTTCAACCTGATCCAACCTCAAAGACATTCGACGTCTGCTAGGGACGCTTAGCTGGTTCAGAAAGTATGTTCCTTGTAACAGCACCATCGTTGAACCTTTGGTTAAGCTGTCGAAGAGGGTGTACTATTCAAACGGGCGGCATTTCAACAAAGCGCACTTGATAATCTCAAATGTGCTCTTGCCAATTCCGATGCCATTGCTTCACCAGATTACAGCCTGCCTTTTCGACTGGTGGTTGATACATCATCACAGGGTTTGGAGTATATGCTCTATCAGATCCACACATCGAATGGCCACGACATCAAAGGTGGCGTTCACTTTGGTTCAAAATCACTGAACAGTTGTTAAAAGTAGTATGGACCAACGAAACTAGAGTTGTTGGAATGGTAACCGCCATTTTAGATTGTTCTATGTACCTCAAGAGAAACAAGTTCACAGTGAAATGTGATCATCAAGCCTTGAAGCATCTATACCCGAAACAAACTTTAAGGGGCTACACTTTGTATCTATGGAAGATGGCTTACAAGTATTAAATGTATATTCCTAAAATTGAATCAAACCTAGTTGATTAAAAAAAGTATTTCATCATGCAGGAAAGCCAATAATACAAAAGTTTGAATGCATAATTCAACATAATGGTTCTTTGAGTCCTTGATTATACAAAATGTACAGCTTTTCCACTGATTAATATTTGTGAACATATCAGTTCCTGGTGTTGTATATTCATAACAGATTTCTGAATTGGATCAATAACGTTTTTGTGGAGTTGATATGATCATCTACCAATTAATGATGGTAATTTTATTTAATACAATTAAACATAAGTTTAGTTATGTTAGTTGATGCTAAGGTTACAAAACTGTTGAATCAGAGAGAATTACATCAAGGCACTGAAAAACAGATTATTATACGGTATGGTGAGTTTTATTTCTAAACAAATTATTTATGTTGGTTAGTATAGATAGAATAAAGGAATTATACAAAACTATAGCATCTTATATAAGTGCATATACATAGTAATATAAATACCCAGAATGGAAGCTGTTTGGGAAAGGAAGTGCATTAATCATTGAATAAATAATCAAAACTGGGGAGGGGGTTAATAACAGCAAATACATGTTTTACTTTACTAGTGTCAACATGGACACTAACATCTGCTTGAACCTCAGCCTCAGCTACAAGTTCTGGGACAGGCTTGCAGTATCCTTTATGCATGTCTAAAGAGGCTTTTTTGCGTCCTCAAGATGTATCTGTTTAGTTTTCAAATGTTGGCTTTCCTGTAAATAAAAAGAGCACACACAAAATAATGAAAAATAATATTTTAAACTCATTGCAAAGCTACAGAAACATAGAATTGAAATTGCTGACATGTTCTTGACTACTATGATTCTTTTGGACAGCAAACAGGGTAGATTTCAAAACTTAGTACATACATTTTTTCAATTAAAATATTATTCTTTTCAATCAAAATATTTCTTTGAATGCATACAAAAAATATCATTTTTCACAGGTATTTTGGTTTGTTTGTTTGTTTGTTTGATTTTGTTTAACGTCCTATTAACAGCTAAGGTCATTTAAGGACGGCCTCCCCTGTGTGCAAGATGCATGCGTGTAGTGTATGTGTGTGTATTTTGGGAGGCTGCGATATGTTCGTGTTTGTCTCCTTGTGATAGCGCGGAACTGATGCCGACTTTATAGTGCTACCTCACTGAAACATACTGCCGAAGACACCCAGCAGGACGCCCCACCCGGTCACATTATACTGACAACGGGCGAACCAGTCGTCCCACTCCTAATTTGCTGAGCGTTAAGCAGGAGTAGAAACTACCATTTTTAAAGACTTTGGTATGTCTCGGCCAGGGGACAGAACCCAAAGCCTTGCCCTGCAGGTAGGGCGTAAGAATTGTACCTGCTGCCCCCAATTGCATGATCGTAAGAGGCGACTAAATTTGGGACCTTATCTCTTCTCTCCTTTCTAAATAACTTTCTTCTTCCTAATGTCTCCCTTGACAATGCCTCACTTTTTGCCATTTGTTGAGCGTTCGCCCATGTGAGGTATTTTGGTCAAACATAATTTGATCAGTGATATGACAATCATGTTGTTGCAATATAGGGGAATAAAATGAATTGATAATTATCAGGTTGAGTTGAGTCTGGTCTGTTGTTTATATACACCAATAAAATCAGTAACAAATAGGTATGCATGAGGAAAGGAATGGGTGGGTGTGGGGTGGATATTTTACCATGGATCCGTCTCGAACCAGCTTCCTTGTCTCACTGGATAAATTGGTTTCTGATTGTTTAACCACCTTTCAAAATAGTATTTTTGTGATTTACTTAAAAAAAAAATAAAAAAAAATATAAGAACCATTGATAAAGACAGAATTTTAGTTCTCAATTTTTTAAATCAGTGATGCTTATTTTAATCTTGCAAACTTTGTTTTCATATGCACTACAGTACAGTAAATTTACTACAAGTCATCATTATGCTATATGTATCACTAGAATTATGTACTGAACATTTATATATTCATCATATTATGAAGATGTGTATATAGTTGCATAGCATTTATTTATGTAGATAGTAGTTTGTTTCCCGAACTTAAATAAAATACGCTTTAACATGGTTTGATAATTTGAAAATATCAACTGCCATGGTGAATTTGTATTGCAACCAGCACGGATACAACGCAATCTTATAATACAACTGCTTTATGATGCATATATCTACAATTATAAGAATTAATATCACATCTGTGTATGTTGTGTATGCATGTGCTGCGATACCAATGTTCTGATCACAGGGGTTCGTTACAAATATCTGAAATACACATATGCTATACTGATATGGGTCATAGCACACATGAACATACAAGTGTGCTGTGACCACATATCAGTATGGCATATGCGTATTTCAGATATGTGTAACGAATAACTGTGGTCTGATGGTTACTGTTGCTTAAATATCTTACTGACATGTTTTATAGTTTTTGTCAAATATCATATAAGTGATTGTATTAAATTTAGCACCTTTTTAATTACCTCATTTAGTGATTTTTACCTTGTTTTTATCAGGGTCATATCCGTGCCAGCCGTCTATAAATTGTCATTTAGAACCCAACCATCCCTGTTTAGTGCTGTTCATCCATGCCCTCCGCTTCCGCTTGTCTTTTGGGAACCGAAACAAACTGACATTTTTTAAGCGGTCAAATTGGTTTGAGCACTGCAAGTTTTTACCATGATTGTGTACGTGAAGCCAGGAACAAACCCAATGGCATTTGTACGTATGCGCGACGTACTGTCCCGCAGTTAATGTGAAAGGGACTATTGATAAAAAAAAGTGTTTGAGTAATGCTGTATTTTCGTGTGGATGCACTATTGTGGTTGTTGACATTCGCAGTGTCTGTGAGATTGTGAGTGTGGAAGTATAATGTCAATGTTCTTTTACTTTAACATTCTTAACAAAGAGTTAAGGGCTCTGCTGATCATATCCAATTTTTACTTGATAATTGTATCATATGACATATGTCCCAACACACTGTTTTCTTTGTGGTTCTGACATCTTACTTAAATCACCAGTATATAAATGTAACACGTAGTTTCCATCGAACGAGCACGTGTACTAGTATCTTACATCAATGGACAATGCATCTCATGATAGGGATTATTGTTGTTTTCGTAGCGATTATCTCCCTTGGTAGTTCAAAAATGTGTTAGTTACCGTATTAATTGGATTGTTATAGTTAATGTGTTATATGGTCATGTGTGTGTATCCTCTGTGTATATTCCATTGATGGTTATTAAAAAATAATTAATTTCGGGTAAAAATATTACTTTGCGGGGGATGGTTTGTATACATATTTATATATTTCTATGAACTATCAATGAATATCCGGAATTTACCATTTTGTATTTTAGTGTATCCGTAATTCCGTTCCGTATGTCCATGTTTTTTTGCTTTTTTTTTAGAAATAGTGTTCTTTATTCCGGAAATAAACTGAAAAAGAAACACACGTGTGTATTATCCTTTCACAATAAAAGAAAGCCAAGCATTCCCTAATCCATAACAGTGGACTTTACTGTATACTGTATTACTGTATTAATGTACATGCACAGATGCTTTATACTTTACTCTGGAGTTTATATGTCCAAACAAGGCAGACTATACCATTATTGTAATCAATACACTACTTGGCCAGTATGGAAAGCATGTCTTATTTGACGTATGACATTTCTCTGAATATAGCAAAACGTAATGTTATTGTAAAATGTGTCTTTCGCTTATCGATAAAGGTTTTGTGATGTTATGCAATTGTTTAAAAGATCAAGTAACTTCTTCACCAGTTGGTCTTGATTGTTTTCACGCAACAAATTTTGTATATTTGGAGGCACGGTAGTCCGGTGGTAGGCGCCGGGGTCGTGACCGAAGGGTTGAGAGTTCGAGTCACGGCACGGCACTGGGTTGTATCTTTGAGCAAGATCCTTTACTCCGCTTGTTCCAGTCTACTCAGCTGTAAATGAGTACGTGGATGGGCAGTGCTATAATTGTTGAATGCTTTAGCTGTTAGCGCCGAAATGACAGCTCCGGGTGTATACTCCCAAGTGAGTTGAGAAAGGTATTGGATTGTTGCAAAGGCCCTATAACCACGGATACTAATTTGTGAACCGCTTTGAGACGACCTACGAACTAGGCTATAATAAAGCGGTATATAAGAACCTCGAATTATTATTATTAGTATTATATCTTTATCTATTATTTGTGCAGCGTGTACAGGTAGCGGCGGACGGTTATACACGTATACAATTATGCTATTTATAGCTGTGTAAATGAGCCTTCAGCGACCAAGAAGTTTACATAACATGACGTATGCATTCAGCCTGAATATTTCCTTTTGAAACCATTTCGCTTAGGATTTACCAGGACATTGAATTCCACATTTTTACTGAACATAGGAATGTGTGGTTGTGAAATCATGGCTAACATTTATTTACAAAAACACAATGTGTTTGTATCTCACAGTGAACACAAGTTCCACTTGTTGATCTTACTGCTGACGATCGTATCAACGACAGGTACGTACAGTGTGATACCTGTCTACCGTGTGTGATATATCGCACTGCTTTATTTCTCTGGTGTGTTTATAATTTGGTCGACTATTTCAGTAAGCGTTATGCCAGATGTATCAGAATAATTGATGTTGTTGATACCACGGGAGTGCCTTGTTTAATGCTTCAGTTGGACATAACCGATACATTTTTTTTTCAAAGTTAAAATCGTAGGTTCGATTGTTATTCTCACTAGCCTTTCATCTAAATGAATCCTTGTATTCATTGAAGTCATCTGATGCTTTGTTGTCTATTCATATTGTTACATTTCCTCCAACTTCCTGGTAATGTACTTATAAACGATATATTTTTCGTTCGAATCTTTCACAATGCCTGCATTATTGTAGTTCTTATAGCACTGATGGTTGTATAAGATTTAACGTCCTATCAATAGCTAAGGTACTTAGGTAAATGCAGGACGTGTCTTTGTGTGCGTTATGTTACGTGTGTGTGTGTGTGTTGGATACAAGGTAGGCTAGTGTATTTGCCTGCTTATGATAGTACAGGTATGGTGCCGGATTTATAGTTCTATCTCAATGAAATACCAAGCCAAAATCACATTATACTGACAACGGTTGAACCAGTTGTTGCCATTACCTTAAATGCTGAACGTTAAGCATGGATTTATGTCTACCATTTTTTAGATGTATTTGAGTACCAATATTAGTCGCCTATTACGATATATGCGGTAGGTAACATCAGTTGTAGTTTGTTTTCGATCCCCGATCTGCAGGCGTACGTATAGCAATAAAGCTTGGTCAAAATAAAAGTATAATTATATTGTATACGGTTGTACATATAAAACAGTTATAACAGTATACGCTACGCTACAAAGGTCAAATTAAAAACCTCTGTGTATTTGGTATATATTTGATAGTCGCACACTACGTTTTTGTTTATTTTAAACAATTATAAGCTAAACGGTTGTGTAACTATGAACTAGAAAGATACATGTACACTTAAATGTGTAAACTCAATTTTGGAAAAGATTGGATGGAAAACATGCATTACTAGATGAACATTTAATTCATTCAAAACCATTTATATTATAATTTATGAAACGTGAAAAATAAGTTCATGTCCTTTATGTGTTGTACTTTACAAATCTTTAAATGTTAGGTAATGTCAAGTCGTACTAGTAAACCTCCGAAATAATTAACAATTTATATAATTATGAATTTTATTTTGTCCTTACTAATACTGCTGCTGGTAAATTTAAAAAAAAAGTAATAATTAACTTCCCAACATTACATGTACGGCACTCACTGAAATCTAAACACCTGTGGAGAGCATTTAAAACTATTAAATATACATTATTTCAGCAATGCAATACATAGGTATGTTTGAATAATTGCTGGTTAAAGTGTTTCATTGTCATCAACATAAATAGTGTGTCATTTAGCAGTTCGTTCATGGTTCTGTACAGATGAAAGGAGCTTAGGTCTATTGAAAACAAATGGATGAAATAAAGCCTAGTTTGGTCTTAACGTGCATTTTGCGATATCCCTACTAATATTATTGTGTCACTTTGGAGCTCTGGTACTTATGAGATCAATTGGGTTTAAAACTTGTTATATCACTCCTGTATTGCTAACTAACGTATCTGAACGTAAATGTGAATATAAACTTCATTTATTTTACAGCAATTATGAAACAAGTTATTTAAACTTATATTAAGCACAATTGTTTGGTCCGGATTTTAGCTCGCATGGGATCATAATGTAGGAAGAAACCGGAGTACCTGGAGAAAACCCTCGCGGTCGGGCAGGTGACCCCATACCTTTTAACGTCCGGTCGGAGAATCGAAACGACTCTCTGAATGTCTTCCACTGAGAAGTGCAATTCATTATTGTTCATTTAATAGTTCAAAACACATTATTCGCATGTTTCCGTTTAATTTATGTCTTGTAGAAACGTTTAGGTCTCTTAAATGCACTTGCCACCATAAATGTGTTCTTCGGCATTTACATAAGGACAACTGTGACTACCAAGGCAAAGTGCTCATTTCCAGATTTTTTTTTTCAAATTCCAAACAAGCGCGACGTCGTGTCATAACCACTTACGGCCTTTTGAGACCTTGTTACACCACTATTTCTCACCCCAACACGATTTCTTACCAGGATGAGAAATCGTGTAACACAAATGGGCATAGGTGACACGTTTTCTCACCCCGCTCCCTATATTAACATTTAGGTTTGATCAGTAGATTTCATCCGTGGTGTTTCTCGAATAAACTTTATCTTACAACAATAAGTTTTTGTCATTTTACATTAATCTGGCTACAACAACTTCTCAGATTTCAATTGCTAGGGTAACTTAAGAAATTCTCAATACGATAATAGGCCTCCCATTAAACATGTTTTTAATAAGTTGTTCCATCTCAGTCTTAAATATGTTTGTAGAATGTTTGATTAATCTGTTTGTTTATGACTAAAATGTTTTCATGAGAGGAAATTGCTCAATTGTAAAAACTATTGATTAATTTTTCTTTATTTCGATATGCATTAATATTTATTTAAATATTGATTTTTTTTTTACACAATGCCCCTTTCCGACTTTAGAATGGAGATCATGTTCAGATAAAAAAAATGTATACAATGCCAAATATTAAAAACAAAGGTCCAGAAAGGATGAATACTAACCAACAGTGGTTAACTGATCCAAAAGTTCACAGCATTTACTAATATCACGGACTTAGATAGTCTTATCTAATTCCGTGCTAATATATAACGCATACAGTTAGGAGCAAACTTAACTGGTTAGCCTAGTGCACTGAAGTTGACAAGAAAAGTGAACTCCAGTTCATTAGCTAGTGCACTGAAGTTCATATCCTTGCACACTAGAGTTAACACTGCAGTGAACTGGATATCGCATCAATGTGCACTGGAGTTAACTACAGTTCACAAGGTAATTTTCTTTATCATATCATGTCTGGCCTTTTCATCTGTTCATACATACTATTGATACTAATTATACTATTTTATTTTCTCCCCTCCCGTCTGCTTGATAAATCAATAAATCTAGAAAATATTATTATATGTTACCTATTCATATACTTAAAACGATTTAAGCAGTATCATTTTATGAAAATAGCATCATTACTAGAGTGTGATGACCTATTAAAATATTACCACATGTACCGACATGGAGCCATGGCACATAAATAAATACATGTATTGGTGGTTAAAAGTGAATAATATTTTGTCTTGAAGACATAATCACCATTAAAGTTCTTTTATAGTATAACAGTATAACGTCTACATAAAATATATAAATCTATCGTTTTATATTAACTAGTAACTAATAGTGAATCATAAGTCTGTACAATTATTATGAAAAAAATAGAAAGCTCATGTAGGTAACTACATGTACTGTGAATAAGAAAAAATACTATGTACTAAATATATGTATATTGTCTCATTCATGATGGGTAACACTTCACTGTAGTTACAGGAATGCAGATCTGAATTCAAACGAAACATTTTTTTATAGAAACAATTAAATATGCAGGTATCCAAATTGAATTTTCTACAGGTACATTTAACTTGTCTGGAACCTGTAGCTAGCACAGGAGAAACTGCAGAAATTGAAATGCCCTGAGGGTGTGTGTATTACACAAGGTATAGGGTCTGATGTCAAATAACATTTACCTTCTGATCAGGTCCCAGGAGCAAAATCTGAGTAAAAAACACCTAAAAAACAAATTAAATTGATTCTAGGAAGTGTGTAGTTTTCTAGTACGTAATAAGATGTTATCTAAGTCCGTGTTTCTAGTAATAATGTATATGTAACTACATGTTTTCTATGAAAATAAAATATAACAATAAACTTTAAAAATGTCTATACAATAAAAAAGTGTATTATTATCCAATAAAAAACCCACTTAATGGTATTGTCAGATCACCTATCCTAGGAGTAGATGATCTATGTATAACGAATACCGTAGATATGATATATACACATATATACATATGTAATTCTGTTTTAAAAAAATGATGAATTAACCATAAATGATAACTGCTCTGATTTTTTGGATCTTTTTTTCTTCAAGAATAGATTGGAGTGTGTTTTCAAAAAATGTGCTAACATTGTTTTATTGATTTAACCGTCTCATAATCCTTCTCGATTTACCTAATTGACATTCTAGTTCTTTAATTATGGACCACTGAACGTACAGGTACAAAAGACTCTGTCATGGTTCAGTGACTCATTAATTGATACTGGGGTGTGTTATAGATTAGCGTCGAATATCTATGTAGCACACAGAAGCCAAACTTCGTAGTTTTTTACACGAGCAACTCGGAATTGACAAAGTTGAGTTAGGCAACACTCATCGATTTGGTAAGCATGTGCGAGGCAGGCCTCGCCCGATTGTCGCGAGATTCCTTTATAACCATGATAGAGCTAATGTCCTGAATAATGCCCGTCATCTTAAAGGTACACAGTACTATATTAATGAACAATTTCCCACTGAGATTGAGGAAAAACGACGTAAACTTTATCCCAAGATGAAGGAACTTCGACAGCAAGGGAAAAGGGTAAAATTAGTCCGTGACCGTCTCATAGTCAATGGTAAACTCTATACAGACCCTACCGTTAGCACACTGGGCAGTGACGTCAGTCATAGGCGAACGTATAGTGACGTCACTAGGACATCCGCCCACGCCTCGGCAACGTCATCTTATCGGACCAATCGACAGGCTCCGACAACGTCATCTGGACCGCCCAATGGGCAGCCCCTGCCGACAGCATCCAGTCCGACCAATCAACAGACACCGACGGCGCCAACCGGTCAGACCAACCAAGTGACGCCTACTGCCAAACGTACGAAATACGGGGTTGATAGGGAGGGATCCGATCCCGAACAAACTTTTGTCAAAACTGCATAATATGCCGCGGAGGGAATCCACAGTGTCTGTACCAATCATAAGCAGTTTAACATTTTGAGTATTAATGTCAATGGTCTT